CCCGGCCACCGCAGCCTCGGCCTGCTGGGCCCCGGCGATCCTTCCTCCTCAGCCTTCCGAGTAGCCGGAATTACAGGCGGGCGCTACCACGTCCGGCTAATTTTTTTATTTTATTGTAGAGATGAGGTCTCGCCTGCCCAGGCGGGTCTCGAATCCACGGGCTCCGGCAATCCACTCACCTCAGCCTCCCAAAGGCGCGGGATTACAGGCTGAGCCACCGAGCCCAGCTGCGTTCATTTCTTTACAGAGCTACACCAGCAGATGGTAAGTTAAGGGCATGTACTTTAATGTAGTTGATAATTTTAATCACATCTTGCAAAATGTTAAGTTCAGATGACATTTTTCGGCTAACCAGCTGTTCTCTATGGATGGCACAGTGCATAGACTCACATTCAGGAACGACCTCTTTGACCCAACCTCTTTGACCCGAGTAGTGAAACCAGAAACTTATCCAGTCATGGCAACCGCTCTGTTGGTGCATGTATTGACACAAAATGACCAATTCAGTTTGCCCGATGTGTAACCATTCAAAGACATGAATAGTTCTGTGGCTGGGGTAATGATTGGCAACCAAAGTGCACATAGTACCTCCTCCTGAAAAATATATTGCACAAAAACAAGCATTTTGCCTTGTTGTCAACATCGGTAGACTTGTTGGTCTGGATTGTGTGCCGTGACTTGTTAATCCTATCTAACAATTGTGCCTCAGACGGGCTTGGTGGCTCAGCCTGTAATCCCGCGCCTTTGGGAGGCTGAGGTGAGTGGATTGCCTGAGCCCGTGGGTTCGAGACTCGCCTGGGCAACTTGGCGAGACCGCATCTCTATAATAAATCAAAAAAAAAAAATTAGCCGGGCGTGGTAGCACACGCCTGTAGTTCTACCTACTTGGAAGGCTGAGGCGGAAGGATCGCCGGAGCCCAGCAGGTCGAGGCTGTGGTGGCCAGGAGCGGCCACTACACTCCAGTCTGGGCAACAGAATGAGACTCCAACTCAAAAAAAAAAAAAATTGTGCCTCAATATTCTCTGCTGTTTCATCAATTCATCTAGTTATCATGCTAACCGAAAGAGGAACACATGCCATATTATGAACTGC